TTTGGAAGCCACAACGACAAAGATTCAACATCAATGTGGTACGCACGACAGTGAAACGTCACGTTGGTGGAAATGTAGATGCCCCGCAAACCGCTAGGGGTCGTTGTTGCGGCGATGTCAGGTTTAGGAATGTCACAGGCTACACCTTGCCAGCCGTGTTGACATTTACACGCGCCGTTAAACGCGTGGCAGCGGGCACCGTTCTTACAGATACAGGTTTTATCGCAGAGAAAGCCGTATTTCCCAATAGGACAACCTTGCGGCTGGATTTCTACGTCTGATGACTGCACGTGTACAAGTCTGGTCGGGTTTGGAGGTGTGCTTATTCTGACCGGTTTTCCAAACGGGGGAAACTGGCAGATAAAGCGTTCTGTGCTCTTTGCCGGGAATGTTAAAGATAGCATGTAGATAAAGTTGAGGTGGCCAGTGAATCGCTCCCTGACGTAGTTCCGAATCAAATCACCCATCGATGTATAAGACAAAATGTGAATAGAAAATTCAGCATTGCTGCCGTCTGCACGGCAGGACAACTGACGGAACTTCCCGGACCACAGTTGGTCTGCAGCTACTAAATCATTCAGGGAACGTACAACAACTATCGTCTGAAATTGACAATTACCGTTTTCTGGGTAGACCAGTGGAATGTTAGTACTAGTTTCCTTTCCATTCCGTTTCCTGGGCAGCTTGTTTAATGTCCTTCGAGTAGCTAGAATGTCTCCACTATCTGTCTCGGCTTCCACTTCTAAGCCAAACCTGAATAAAAATTCTCCAGTGTCCTTACCGGTGGGGTTGATGGGAGTTTCACACGTCTCGTTATACACGGGAGGATAGCCCGGGACGTCGGTTACCTGTATCGCCACATTCGTGACTTCTCGGCGACGCCCGACGAGAATCTTGATGTTATATTCCGGCTGTACTGACCAGTCCAGGGGGTTGGCGACCACAAGGGCGCACTCCTCAGTCAGAAGGAACCTGTCGTACGGATCTCCCTCCGCTTTCACACACGGAAGTTCCGCTTTCTGTGTAGCCGGCCAGTGTTCCTCACCGACAACCTCTGTCCCGACTCTGGCATTTTCAGGCACGGAAACGTCGAAGCTGCGCCCCTCCGCTAATCTGGTCCGACTAAAGACGACGTAGACACTAATCAGAAGAGTAACGTACCAGGTTAACCGCCATTATTTTGTATATCCATACAGAGGGAGGTTACTGACAGTGGCAAACTGTGAAGTCACTCTGCAAGTGCACCGGTGACTGACACCATGTAGGCACATAATTATACTGTAATTATCGCCCGAGGACATTCCCTTTTTACCTCTATGAAAAATGGAGGTATTGTTTTTGGCGTGTCTGTCTGTATGTATGTATGTATGTATGTATGTGTGTGTGTGTGTCTGTGTGTGTTTCCGCAACTTTGTGGTCAGCATAACTTCAGAACGCCTTTATGGATTATGATCATATTTGGTATGTTGGTAAGTCTTAGGAAGACAAACGTCAAGGTCAAATATGGGCCTCCTGGTGGATGACCTTGGTACTGCAGCAGAACTTCTGGTTTTTGTATCTTTTGTCCTGAACATGCTATGGTCTTGATGTTTTGGTGACAGATAGCTTTTCCTGTCAGGAATAAGTGGTGTGAGTTTGGTCCCCATAGCAGCTTGTTCTGGAACTGCAAGGCACTTTCTGGTGAAATGTTTAAAAGCCAATAAGTCCAGATAGGGTAATAGGAACAACATATTTTCATAATTTTTGGTATGTAGGTAGCTGAGAGAGAGATGTACATGATTAAATGCAAATTATGCAAATGAGGACTTTATTTGCATAATTAATGAGGAAATTCTATAATTACAGTGTTTTACATTATACTACTTTCATACATGTGGAACATCAACAGATACTAATTATGCAAATGCTGACCTAATTTGCATAATTTATGCAAAAATTCTATGATTTTTCGCGCTTGTTTTGTACTCACAGCAAGCTTTCCCAGGTTTGACTAGATCTAGGTTAGTAGTATTGTTGCCGTCATAGGTTTCACAATACAATGGATAATAATTACGTATTTAGATTTTCCCATTTCGGATGACTTTAGATAGCTTCGCAGGATTCTGCTCTCTGCTGCAGCCATGACCTGGCTAGGAGGCATACAGCATCGCTATCCGGTCACACAAGCTGTCAGTTATCAACAGTAGGATATAATATGGCATACTTTGGATAGAATTTCACACAAGGAAATATGGATACAAGAAGCGGACACATACGTCTTACTTTGTGCTTGGTTGTTAAGTCCATTTACATTATCCTTCGGCAATCTATGGATACGTAGTGGCATTAGAGGCAAGCAGGGTTTTATCACATAGCGGTGATCAGAATTGTACAGCCGCTATATCAGTAGAATGTTTCATCTTCATGCAAATAATCCCACAACCGGTAGCACCTCCGTACAGTCACCTGTTCAGGGGACCAACTTTCCCACCCTCAGTCTGAGACACACAGGAGTACAATATGGCGCTCGTGAGTCTGTTCCTCCTTTTGTTGGCGGTGCACCGGTCCGCTTCCCTGTCCATCGCCTGTCTGGTGAGCCCCGGGTCCCTCACCAACCCGTGCCCCGCGCCTCCCACCGACTGTGAGCTGGTCACCAGCATGTGTGGCTGTCAGGTGTGCGCCGGCCTGGAGGGGGAGTCCTGCGGAAACGGTCACCCGGGGTGGGCGGCTACCTTCTACGTTTTTGTTTTTTGGTTGGTTGGTCTGCGTACGTACAGGTGTGCTAGCGGCCTAACGTGTGTGCTCCCTCCGTACGTACAGGTGTGCTAGCGGCCTGACGTGTGTGTTCCCTCCGTACGTACAGGTGTGCTAGCGGCCTAACGTGCGTGTTCCCCCCATACGTACAGGTGTGCTAGCGGCCTAACGTGCGTGTTCCCTCCGTACGTACAGGTGTGCTAGCGGCCTGACGTGTTCCCTCCGTACGTACAGGTGTGCTAGCGGCCTAACATGTTCCCTCCGTACGTACAGGTGTGCTAGCGGCCTAACGTGCGTGTTCCCTCCGTACGTACAGGTGTGCTAGCGGCCTGACGTGTGTGTTCCCTCCGTACGTACAGGTGTGCTAGCGGCCTAACGTGTGTGTTCCCTCCGTACGTACAGGTGTGCTAGCCACCTGACGCGTTCCCTCCGTACGTACAGGTGTGCTAGCGGCCTAACGTGTGTGTTCCCTCCGTACGTACAGGTGTGCTAGCGGCCTAACGTGTGTGTTCCCTCCGTACGTACAGGTGTGCTAGCGGCCTACCGTGTGTGTTCCCTCCGTACGTACAGGTGTGCTAGCGGCCTGACGTGTTCCCTCCGTACGTACAGGTGTGCTAGCGGCCTAACGTGTGTGTTCCCTCCGTACGTACAGGTGTGCTAGCGGCCTGACGTGCGTGTTCCCTCCGTACGTACAGGTGTGCTAGCGGCCTGACGTGTGTGTTCCCTCCGTACGTACAGGTGTGCTAGCGGCCTAACGTGTGTGTTCCCCACCTGCGAGGAGACCGTGCAGGAGTATGTCCAACCTGACGGGACCGTCCTCCAGGCCATCTCGCCCTGCCTGTGGACCTGGCGCCCGGGAACCTGCCAGACCCGCTCCGCTTAACGGTAACGTGTGTGTGTGTGTGTGTGTGTGTGTGTGCGTTAGTGTGTGCGCGTGTGTGTGTGCGCGAATGTTCGCGTGTGTGTGTCTGTGTGCGTTAGTGTGTGCGTGTGTGTGCGCGAATGTTCATGTCTTTACGTACATATATATATATATATATACTACACTATATATGCAAATGGATTCATGCGATTTTCGTTCAATATTTTACAGTTTTTTCCTTCTCTCTTTTTTTTCTCTTTTTTCCCCTTCAGGTTAGGCATACAGCATGAGGGAACGCGCTGCTTACTGGAAGAACCCGGAGAGAAAGAAGACTGGCGTTCGGTTTTAATAAATCTGCTCATAGCGCCGGTGATGACGTTTTCTTAAGAGTAGCAGTTCTTGCTTTAGCCTCGAGCGTTACCATTCTCCACAGGCGGGCTTTACCGATCTCAGTCTTCCTAAACATAGACCGCCTCTGTCCCCTGACATGCCATATTTCCATCCGGGCTTTTTAATATCATTGTTGTCCTGTCAATGGCTACAGTAGTGAATAAGGTTAAACACAGGTGGCAGGTACATGTTAAGCAGACGGAATGGTAATGTACTGTTACGACATTGGTCCACGGAACCACAACAAAGGCGTGATACAAAAACAAGGAATGGAAGTCTTTCAAGTCACACGCTACTTACAAAAAGCGATAATTCCTGTAGACCCTCCAAACGTAATGGCCCGAATCACATTAAGCCCTGTCGGCACTCGAACTCTATTACCGTTATACAGTCTAACGTGAAAGCTTTCTCTGGGTAGTGTACACACAGTCGGAGCTAACGTTCGTGTAAACACACGGGCATTACTTGACGGCCTTGGTCGTGATTTGAACAGACACAGAATCTTTATACGCCATTTCAACTCTCCTTTCCTCCATCAATTTTAACCCTAGGTGTGTCAAGTTCGATGAGAACAAGACCCTGGTAGTTTGAAGGTCAAGGGCAGTTTTTGGAGTTGTTGGTTGTGCCTTTCATCAAAGTCAACACGTGTTTCCTGTAATCACTAAGCCTCAGACGTACTTGAGGTCTTTTAGTCAAAATCTGCATCACAGGATCGACCGTTCCAAATCCCGTAACACAATCGCAGCAGCTCACACTCCTGTACGTCTACAAGATGGATATCGGGTGCTGGGACATCAACCCCCAAAACGTGTTCTCAAAATCCCCAAACGAGACAGACGCTTAAACATCAACATGCGTCAAGCTCATAAAAACCTCCACTCCTTATGTAAATAATTTTCTTTCACAAGTCGTGGTCTGATACCTCCCAAAACACCGAGTCTTTCAAGCTTCGCGTGTAACTGGACGGCTGAGTGCCGCCACACAAACCTGGCCATTAGACCTGGCAGGACCTGTCAGCCCTTACTAAGTTCACTTTTTTGTCGTAGGGTTTTCAGAGAAGCAATGGCAGAACCGATAAACTTCTCCGTTACCAGACAGCTTAATTTTGTACGACAATTTACGACTGTCCCACGAATGCACTCAATATGCCGTTGTAAATCTGTCGTGCGACAGGTGTGACCTGGTCCTTAATTACCTCCGCGCGGACATGTATCATTACCGTGCCGGGCGACGCGCCTATTTTTGGCCACGTGCCTCGGTCAAGGCAGGTGACAACAAAGCAGGTGTTTCAGTCCCATTTCAAGTGCGGACATGAAGTTATGCGGTCTCCGCATTCCAAGACGTTTAAACTCCAATTTTTGCGCCTGAAAAGGACGCTTTTATTCCTTTTTGAAATCCAATCTTGACTGAGAACACAACGTTGTATACATCTGCTCTCGTACTTTCACTGCTCAAGTGTCCTTCCTCTAACAATAGTCTCGGCGGTGTTACACACCACGTCACGCCGGCTTCCCGTGAGGTCCGGCGGCGCTGTGCTGCATGTTGTGCAGGAGCCCGCCGCTGCGCTGGCAACGGACAAGGAAAGGACGTCATCCGATTCAAAACATTCGCATTGAGCTCCGGAGTGCAGAATAACCTCCCACAACGCCGACCGGTTTTGAATGGCCGGAGGGGTAATGGAAAAGCCATTTCTCTTCAAGACATGTCGGACTGTTTAAGACAACGCCTTTGTTGAATGTTCCCTCTCCTTAACTACGAGATAAGACGGAGTTATTTCTCCCCGATTGGCAGTCTGGTGGCAAGACGGACTGTACTTAGTTTGCACGTTACCTTCCAAACTTGAGTCCTTGTGGATTTTGTCTGAGCACGACGTCCTAGCTGTTTGTGACCTTACATAAGTTGCCAACCATGAGTGAAACACCGTTCGATGGGGTGGACTTGTAGCGTTCTTCTGGAGTTTACGTAAGGTAAGGTGCGTCTATAAACTTTAAACCAGGCTTAAGCTTATGACTTTGCAACATTCTACATGAGTGTCCGTACATGACAAACTACACTTGGTCCTTTGTACACCCATATCATCGGGTTTCAAGAAAGGATTTTTATCCATCCATACTGTTGGTTTGAATTGTGTAGTACATTCATTCCTATGATATCCATTATCAGTGTTGTTAGGCCAAAGTATCATGTTGTCACGACCGCTGATGGACCCTTCCCACTAAGGCGGCTGCTGTTTAAGAGACAAATACTCTCGAGATCTCATCCAGACGAATTTCATTGATGAAGTTTGTGCGTTTTTCGTCTTTCAACTCAAATATGCATACTATTACATCGTGAATCATATTCCAATTATAAAGTCATAGGTCATACAAATCCAATTTTCTAGGTGTTTGGTGTAGACGTCCATACCCGTGGATAGTATTTATCTTAACAAACTGTAGTGATACATTGTAGGGTAGGGTAGGACCACACGATCCCCCAATCCAACGTGAACTTGTCGGGGTTTATTTTGATAACGATACAAATTACAACACCAAGTAGTCTGATTCTTTACCTGTCGAGCCCGTATCTTCTCAAACCTAAAACATACATACGGCGATATCGTCGGTGGAAAAAAACTTCAATCGTAAGTGCGTCATACAATATTTCACATCTTGTACCTACTGCACGAATCTGGTGTGTTACCAATAAACATTAAACTTTACCGTTTACGAATCTACATCTACATAACGTCCAAAACAAACAAACAAACAAACAAACAAACAAACAAACAGATGTTGTCCATGGTAACGGTTAACCGTGTAGATATACCCTACTTGTTTCAGATGTTATGGAGGTAATGTCAGATTAGAAGTCAGTAATCATCGATCTGCAGTTGCGGATTTATTCTGAGATATCTGCGCGTGCGTCTAACTTGTTTCTCTCTGTCTTTCTTTCACCAGTTCCTACCTTCTGCACTGTTTGACTATTAAATCTTCTGATGAATGTAAGGATTCGACTTAGCCTCAGCATTTTACGCGTGTTTAGTATGTCGTTCAACATGTAGTTTGTTACCAAAACAGAGGAAAGTACCTAGACATGAAAATGTACAGCCAAGTTATATTCTGTCAGATATTGACAGTTTTGCACCCATTTAGTACAGAAATGTCTACATTATAACAGTTAGTATGAAACAGGGCTCGTTAAAGAGCACTGGATCAAATGTGTACAAATATATTTACTTAACACTGTTAGTAGATCATTGAGATACCAAACAAGGCTTAAGTACCTGGACACGGAAGTATTTAGTACCGCTTAAAGCTGTAAAATGTTTACCCTATCTCCAAGCAGAAGTGTGGCTCTGGCTTGTTTTGCCTTAACGTTTATTACGTTAGCCTGATAACCACCCTGTCCGACTGTGAGCTTCCTGTGGCTTCTTTGGAGCTGGGGGTATTAGAAAATAGAAATTGGGCTTTTTGAAGGGTTTCACGTATTTTCTGTCCTCCCCCTGCAGCCTTCCCATGCCTGTGTTCCCGGCCCGCCGCCATGGCGCTGAACGAAGGCCGCTTCCTGGTCATCCAGCGCGCTGAGAAGCGGAACCGCATGGAGGCGTCCGTGTACAACAAGATGGAGAAGGTGCGCTACAGCCATGCGCAGAAACAGCTGGATGAGGCCAGGGTGGGTTCCCCTCTTTGTAACTCCTCCCACAAGAACTGTGCACACATGCATTTCTTCGTGTTAGAAATAACAGTCAAAATTTACTTTACTTTACTTTACTTTACTTTACTTTACTTTACTTTACTTTACTTTACTTTACTTTACTTTACTTTACTTTACTTTACTTTACTTTACTTTACTTTACTTTACTTTACTTTACTTTACTTTACTTTACTTTACTTTACTTTACTTTACTGATCTTTACTGATCTTTACTGATCTTTACTGATCTTTACTGATCTTTACTGATCTTTACTGATCTTTACTGATCTGTACTGATCTGTACTGATCTGTACTTTACTGATCTGTACTTTACTGATCTTTACTTTACTGATCTTTACTGATCTTTACTTTACTTTACTGATGAGATGCATATAAATTCACCTCTTCAGTAAAGCTGTGTATTTCTGGTTCATAGTACAAAATGTACTAGGGTCTTAACCTGATAGTTCTTGACTGAGTGATTTGCTAAATTACTCTCGGGATTATGCTAACCACATTAATCCCTTTAAGGTAGTCACACCAGGATGGACCCTTACACTCTTTTCGATGAGTGCCGTGGGTTCTTAAGCGTACGTGAGGTGTGGCGCATTTTAAACACGGGACCTAGTACCTCTAGCTTTACCTCCCATCTGAGAAGACATTCCTAACCGAAGCTAGATACTGATTTTTCAGAAGTCAAGCAAAGAAAGAGGTGTAAAGTCCCTTTCCCAAGGGCACGGCATTAGCTGACTTGCTGAGGTTGAACCCAGAACCTTTAGTCAAAAACCATATCGACAAGACCACCTTGCCACCATTTGCAACTGGTTCTTCAGTCCACAACTATTTTACATCGTGTTGAGTTGATAATAGCCCGCTTAGTTCTTCTCGGCAGCCGTGACAACATCACGCCGCTGTTTTGGCCACAAACGCAGCTCACGTTGTGTAACAAAATCCGCCAATTTGCGGTCGGAGTGGGAAGCTGAATAGGCTGTTATTGTTGGCGCCACACTAAGTGAACCTTTTCCCCCGTGTGGCGCGTTGTTTGTGGTTCCTCCGTTTCCGACAAGACGGCAGAAGTGGTACTTTCACCTGGAACTCCTGTCGTCGGGACTTTCACCCGTACTTCCTTCCCCCCCGTGTTCCCGAGTCTTTCAAGACCAACAGGTGGACTTCTGTGATATCTAGTTCTGCACTAGAGGCTCAGGTTTGGCCTAGTTTGTCACGGCTTCATGTGTTTTACTGTTTTCGCGAGGTCATGTCTGACGGTGTGTAGGGTTCACGTTTATCCAGTGGAGTGTCCAATTAAGATCTCCTGCTATCTTGAGGTTTGCAGGAAGCGGTTTTACTCAAACGAGTCCTCTGTGACCAACCAGCCAAACTTAAATTCTGTATCTATTGTCTATACATTCTGAAGTGTACAGAAGAGTGACTACTTGGTACTCTACTTGGTGTTTTATCCAGCCTCCTGTACCATGCAAAGGCCATGGAAGTCAGCTGCAGATTGAAATGTGACAGTTTACATGGTGCCGAATTTATTGCGTGACTTTAAAGTGCAACCTCCTTCTTGTTACCTCCGGCCCACTCTTACTGCCTGGTCTCTAGGTCGATGTCGGTCAGAAGTCACGTAAAAGGACGAGACGCTCTGAACAAGGGAGACAAAGCTAGGCATGCTTGGGAATGTGAAACGTTTTGGTCCCGTGTTTGGGGAAATTTGCAAGTTGATCACGGTAAACACACACAACTTTGTTTTAAGACATTCTGTGCTTACAGGGCCTACAGGAGTTGCGTATCCAGCGTCAGTTCCAGCGCGTGCGCAGAACGGTTGTAGAGAACAACCTTCGGCAGGCCATGCTGCGTCGGCTGGAGAGACAGGCGTCCGACCGGGCACTGGGCGGGACCTTCAACCACAACCTCGGCAAGTCAGTCTCAGTTCTGTCTGTTTGTATATGTGTTCCCTGCTGGGCAATACATTGAGCGTGGTCAAATCTTACTTTCCACTAAACAGTCCTACACGAAAATGACAGTCTCGATCGTAAACTGGCTTCGGTTTGTCTTAGTTGCAGAATGTATAATACATAATACGCATTTGTTTGTTTCTTACTTTTTTAAGTATCCTTTATGTACAAGTTAGCTTTTGAGAACACTGAGTCTGGTTTCTTCCATGGCTGTTTGTTCCTCAGGTACGGCGGGTTGAAGATGGACTCCCTGAAGCACGAGGTGGACCAGATGCTGAAGGACATGGACCCGGGCGTGCGGCGGGCCAAGCGCGCCCGCAAGCTGCTGGAGAAGGGTCGGCGGGACGGGCGCATCCGGCCGTACGACATGCACTCCGTCTGCCTCCCGCCCATCGTCGCCGACAACCACGACGAGATCGACATCGTCACGGCCGCGCAGGACGGCGGCGCGGGGGAGAAGGGGCCGACCGCCGAGCCCAACCGGACCAAACTCCCGCCGTTACGCACCCTGAAGGCGAGCGTCGGTATTGACGACAGCGACGACGATTTGTGATGAGCTGTGTTTCCATGGAAAATGACATAAAACTGCATTTGTATTGAAACTCGGGTGACGAAATGTTGGTTAAGGGGACGAACTCGAAGCCCAAAGAGATCAAACTCCCACCACGCCGTTGCACCCTGGAGCCGAGTGTCTGGATTGTCGACAGCGATTCCATGGAAACCGGTGTAAAACTGAACTTACAAACATGTGGCGAACAGTCCACTGAAACGTCAGCAGGTGGAGAACATTGGTTGTGCGATGAGAACTGTGTTAACCAGTGATTTACCAACCAGATGGTACCATTCACGGGTGACAGAAGACTCACGTGCACCTGTGTGGTTCGACTAGCCCAAGAAATCTCCCAGAAATAAGAAATATTTATCAGAACACCTGTAAATGCTGTACAGTGTAAGGAGTGGTGAATGAATACCTTCCAATTTGCTCATGCTCTACAAGATTTTGAAAAATATATTATTAAGTTTTTGTAACGTTTTAGTAAAATAACGTTACGCGTCGTCCGAATTCCTACTGATGGTTAGATCTTTCAAATTCGAACGTACTAATATCACAAAACTAAACTTTTATCTCAAACTACGAAAATGTCTATTACCTTTATATGATAGCAGACCTAACGTTTACAGAAATTTTCTTTACTTTTACTGTACTTCATTTTCTCTTTATATGTCCATACACAATGTTAACCATTGTTTGTTTGTTTATTAATTTGTTTGTTCGCTAGGCTTGTTTGTAAATGGTTTTGGGCACATATGTACAATAAAGATTGGATTGATGTTTGAATCAGTACCATGGACAGAAATTGTTCAAGACTGTGAAGGGCGGATGTGTCCTAAGTTGAAGGAAAGCATGGCGGCACGGTCATGAACACAGCAGAAGCGCCGCCTTGCGAAGTTTGTTAGGATTGTAGACAGTTTGAATTAATTGAGTTGTAGATGCACTTTGGAGATGTAGTAACACGTTTCAATCTAACCAAAAAAATTCTGTCTACACGGGGTGTTACTACTGTTAGCGATTCTTATCTTCCTAAATCCTCCCTCAAGTAGCTACAATATAGCCTCTAAAATTTGCTTATTTTTTTCTTGCTGAATTGTGTTACAGCTACAGTTTCCAACATCTACCGATGTAGTTGTTGAAAACGGGAGCCATTCTAACACGGTAGTAACACGGGAGCCTGCTGTAGAGGCTAGCCGGGCGTAATTACCGTTAATGGACAGGAGTAAGCCGGCTGCTCGGTCCGCTACTCTCCCGGGACCACCAGAACCGCTCCCGTTCCAAGGGGACCGACATGGGACCTGTTCCATGACCTTGAACTGTCAGCCAGAAGATCGGCTCCTGGTGATCTTATTCTACAAGTCGTATTTTTAGCTACATGTACACATTTGTCTTTATTTCTATACGTTGAATTAATACCTATAATCCGTGATCTTAGGAATTTTGACTCCTAATTGGTGGGTGGGGTAATCGTAAAAGGGCGCAGTGTTTGTGTTATTCGGTTGCCATGGCGACATGATCGTCTAATCCACACCAAGGTCAATCCTAAGACCATCCGATTCGTGGAAATCTAACGTTACGTATTGAGAACAAACGCAGGTACGATTGATGACGTGAAATCCGTACAAACTTCCCGAAAAAATCCGAAGAAAGGGCCCACGTTAGAATGTTTTTCGTTTCTGTTTCTTTATTTTTGTTCGAACTTCTTTGTCGTAAACGTTTCCTTTGTCCAACATCTAAAGGTGACCTTGTTGTTGTGGTACCGTTAGTGGAAGCCTCAAAACTTGAGCACCTGTTAATATGTTTCTGATGTTTCAACAGGGAAAAGACTCTTGAAGATCGCCAGTGATCCTCTCACTGATATATACCGTTACATGTATATGACTGGCGGACGGTCCCTAATTCAGACCAATTCCCAATTCCTGATGTAATTGGTAAATGACAGGGAATGCCCCCCACCCCCATCGTCACACGTCACGCTTCCAGGAGACACCATAACAAACATGACGGGCGGGGGTCTACCTGAGGTCAACCCTGGCACGCAACCGGCCCGATCACTCCAACACGGCACGGCCGCGGAGAACACTCTCCCTCCCCACAAGGTGTAGGCGCTGTTTCTTTAAGGCGTTTTCCACCATCACAAGGCGCGCCTTCTGCACTAATCCAGGTGAGAGTGTGTGAGGATTACCTGTACGACTGTGTTAATGGCGGTAATTGGTGGGCTGATTTACGGGGTGTTACGTTACACTGTCGCCCTTTCACGTCGTCAGGTGTTTCAATTCTCCGCGCCGAACAACAAAGTGGCGACGTTTCCGAGCTCTGAGTAGACACAGTTCTGGGTTTATACAGGGACCTTACTGTTCACAACAGCTCGCCTCTAGCACAGCTGCACTGACAAACCGCCGTCGTTTCCCCGACAGGTAAGTCGGAGATCAAGTAAGACATTAGAAGTGAATCTTTCTTACCTGTACATGTACATACGCTTCGCTTTCTTTGACCCTGAACCTGTACATGTAGTTCTAAGCCAGTCGCTTTCTTCTTGAATCTTGACTCAAGTGCAAATGGCTAAACCATAGAAGAGAGTAAAAGTCAAAGGGATCGTGGCTAAGGTACGGCGTACAGACGAATCCATATGTCAACGCTCCCGATGTAAAACTGGCTTCTTTTAGGAGTGGCCAACATGGCGGCAGTCTTAACGCATGCCAGGTTTGCAAACTTACAGAACGGAAACTACCTGAACACCAGTCATGTACACTGCTTTGTGACGGATGGTTTAACGTCTTGTTGACTTTAAAAACTGAAACGTCATAATCTTCCAAGTTGTTTTCATCGATGTCACCAGTACCAAGAGTCTGTCGATTAAGGTAGTACCTTAAGTTCAAATTCTTGAAGTCATTTCCTTGAAGTCAATTCTTCAAGTCATGAAACATTCTTTCATGGTCGCCTACTGTCCGTATGTCGTTGGTAACGTTATAGTTGGTGGATGTACGGAAATATGAGCAAAACCTGTATCAGTTGTTTGGTCGACGGAGTTCTTTCCAGGCATACCGTACTCAGTTCACAAGCCTACCTTTTTGGGTGTTCGCTGAGACCATCCTATGAAGAACAGACGAAATTAAGGGTGTGTAAAATGCAGTGAAGAACAGAGCTATGGTATACGTAAGATATCAGACCCATGTTTATGGAGAGTAATACAACACACTATAAGCACATTGAAAATTCGACATCACTTATCCAAACGCCGAGAGTAGTGGTACGCCTCAGTGACGGGCCAAAATCATGCACTTCTCAACTCATGGACGCCTTACTTCCAAAACTGCCATTTCATAACAAAACCAGTAAAATAGGGTGGAGAAGGTAAGCATTTTGGTTCTCTGTTGTTGTTGCCAATCCCGTCTTCCCTTTCCCACGGGGGTACTCTGTAAGATGGATGTGCGCTAACAATGCTGGAGGCTCTCCACTAATCACAGGTGTTACTTTCTCTCAATCTGTTGTCTTAAAGATGATGTTTACACCTGAGGCAACCGAGTACTGACTAGCAGAATCTATGAGAGTACGGGAACTGCTCAAAGGGTGTAGCAAATGTTTTGTACTTTGATGGTAATTGAAAACACTGCTGGGACGCGCTGCGCTGGGACGGATGAATGTAGCGTTATTGTGTACGGTAGATGTCGACTTCGTTGTAGAGCCCTCCGGACTTACATTTTTCAATGACGCGAAGTTCCTCATGGCAGTTGGATTCTGACTGCTGAACTAAAAAAATTCAGAACCCGGTCTACACTCAGTACACGGTGTGCCCATTAACTAGAACCCAGCATAGTGAAAAATTAAAGAAAATACTCGGGGGTCTGCATCGGAGGCCCGGGCAATGACTCTGGCGACTGTTGCAGGGCTGCTCTTAATTACTTGCAGTCTTCTATGTTGTACCGGCAAGGATACTGTAAGCAAGAGAAGTCCTGCAACAGTCGCCACGGCTAGGAAATGTCTGTACTGTGAAGATTACATGCGCAGGTGTGTTACAAAATGAAGGGTTGATCTGACACTGATAGTAGTTTCCTCGTGTGGCGCCTGAAGCTACACCTGATTCTTATCTCACAGATCATTACAGGTTGTCCAGTCATTTGTTCTGATAATCACTCATCAGTCAGAACTCCCAGGAGCTGTTGTGTCCGATGTGTGGCCCCGGGCTGGCTGAAACAGCCTTAGTGTAATCCCCGAGCAGAAGTGTCCGGCTGGTTTCACACGTGTTTTTGAGACATTTTCAACGGTGAAAAGATGAAAACACTTACCACTAGAAGGACATAATATGCAAGATACCACAGAAGCATGCACTTCTAACGGTGAGAAGTAAGTCGCAACAAGCCCGTAGCGATGCCTGGAATGCGAGGCTAGGTGTGCATGCAATCTTTGTAGATTTGCTGTAATTACTGTCTGATCGAGCGGAAAATCTTCCATGTGTCATGGAACAGCCGGAGGTCCCGTGTCTGAAAAGAGACACTACCGTTTCTTACTTGTTTGTGGACTACATACTGTACATTGTACAGACTGGGAAAATGGCCCAAACAAGCGATCAGCGTCTACTGGAACAAATGCAAACTCCACTTTCGTTCAGGTTTAAAACTCCCAACCACCATGTCTTTGTGCGTCGTTAAAAACCGTTCATTTAATTCTGTTTGCCCTTCAGATGTTTGCAAGGGTCGTTTCAAACATGGCGTCATCGCCATGGCAACCGGGACGCCTGGTGACGTCACGTACGCCTTGTTTGCCGAGAGTTCGGCAGCGTTTCTTTGAATTAGCAACCAATTTAAAATCACCGCTTCTTTCTAATGTTTCCTAAACATTACCATGCCGACCGAGTGAGAGCGGAAAGCTCAAATTTGAATGTTCACAACGTTACATTCCTCCGACTGAACCGTGGTTTACTATCTTTAACCTAACCTGCGTATTTAACCTCGGCTCTGTTGTCTGAATGCTTGTTTTGGCAACTGAGAACTAATGGAACGAAAATCACATTTCTCACACGTCTCCACTGATCGGCGTGTTTTGAAAACTCTGGTGTGGACGGGCCGGCATTCTTCCGCGCCAATGTCATTATCACAGACGACCTACTCTGGCATGCTGACATTGGCCTGTGTTGTTCGCGCCTGTGGGAGCGTACTGCTGTCCTTTGCGTGCTTTGTTTCCCCTGTCACGACGCCGAGACATGCTTCTAGACGACTCGTGACAGAGGAAATGTTGCAGAACTACCTAAGCTCTGATCAGATGTAAGGATCAATGTTTTATAGTCTTGTGTCCATCCCTGTTATAGATATTTGGCAGGTATGGATACAAGACTATGTATAAATCTGCTTGGGGATTATCCTCCGGTCACTTTCTCCGTAAAACTTACATAGACATGCTTGACGCTGCGCTCTCTATTCATCGAAAAAGCAAATGAATAATTCTTAAGATCGATAAAAAGACACAATATAAAGTACACGTATTAAGACAGCTATAGGCGCTGCTTGTCGTGTAAAAAATTTGATACATTTGATATTAGAAGGACGCTACATCTTTAGGCTCAGCGAAAAAAAAAATCAGCGCTGAAATATCCAGGCCTATAACTGACTTGCTATGTATGTATGTATGTATGTATGTATGTCTAAGTCAAGTAGTGTATCTTTTGTCTCCACTTTTCTACATACGTTTGTTATGTGTCTGTTAAGTCTTGACCTGTACCTAGCCCG